GGCACAGCTATCTAAGAGATTTTGCTTGAGATACACTAAATATGCCATAGTTTTTATTTAGAAGGCTGCAATTCTTTAAAATTCCTCTGCTCTCGATTATATGCAAACAAGAGCCAGTGTAATTAAAGTCATGACAATAATTACATAATCAGGAAAACAAGAAACTCCACACTTTTCCTCAAGAACTATGAAACATTTCCCTAGAGAATGGGAACATTTTCCATGTTCCCTCAGAACACATTTCCAGAAACAAACAGCAGAGCCACTGTGATGAACACAGTGCATTTCTGCAAGCACTAACAGTAATGAACAGTATTTACAGATAGCAGATTTTAATTTGTTGGATGTTTAAGCACCATATGTATAGCAGAAATAAATAACTTGTCTGCAGGAACTTTTGCTACATTTACCATACAAGTCACATGAGTTGTCTGAGAATTCAATTAGTTCAAGAGCCAATCACAAACTGCAGTTTCCTCTCTAAATGGTAAATTGAATATAACTTATCTGCATGTGGCCATCATTTATTGTACTTAACAATTAATCTCAGCCTCGGTGAGAAGTAGCAAATGCTAAAGGAGAAGATAATTACCATCTCACAGTACTTGACTCTTCATGAGATCTACACCAGCTGACAGATTTACTCTGGGTATTAACAACATTCTCCCTACCATGAAATTTTAATATGTGACAAGCTAAGAACTTGACAGAATTTTCTTTGCTCTTGTATTCTATCACAGAATTCTACAGGACTTGCAGAAAACTGTTTGTTCTCTATTTCCCACCAATTTCCTGGGTCAGACCTTCACCCACCTGCTCAGTACCACACTCAACTGAGACACTCTCCTGAGGAATACAACAAACCAGCTGAATCTAAAATCCTGCTTAAAGCAGCCTAAAAGAGGTGATTTTCCATCACTGCTAAAAAGCTTTCAATAAACATTTATTGTCCTTTATTTGGTCAACAGGACAAATCACTATTTGAAATCCATACTTTATACCTTCCTTGTTTAACAAGATAAATTGCCATAACTTGGAGGGGTTTTTTATAGAATTAAGCACAGCTTCTGAATAGTTGCTGTCAGGTTAAAAAAAAAAATGCATGTGTGCTGTTCTAATTTTTATGAAAAGTAGAATATCCTAAACCAAGCATGAAAGATTATATGTAGGAAAAGAAAGGTGTTTCTTAAAAAGTTTTCACTCACTTCAACAAAAATACTAAAACAAATTGACCAAGAGAAGGTTCAAAATCCTGAAAATTTCTCAACTTCCATGTAATGACACAAACACCACCAGGCTCTGCCACTGCTCTGTTTTCTATGTAATTATTTTCTGTATAATTGCACATTGCAAAAATAAAATTTTCTCACGAAAGTTTTAACTGTAGGTTTTCAAAGATCCTAGAAATCAAATGCATTCTGAAGTGCTCAGAAACCCAGTAAGTGAAGTTTAAACCAGAAACTTTTATCAAAAGATGAAGGAATGATCTGGCCCTCCCATCTTGACATGGGACACAGTGTGTGATGAACAACAAGGAACAAGGGAAAGAAAGCAGGGAGAGGAAAAGTGCACTGTGAACATGGAAAGTTGCACTGTGGACATGGGAACAAGTAGATTGTGCACAGCTTGACAGCTTGGAAGGTCCAAATAGATAAATTTGGATTCAAACCTTTCGGGTTTTTCACTGTCATCTCTTGTTGGGAATGAATAAAATCCATGAATTATTCTCAACTAAATAAACAACATCTCATGTTAATGCATCTTCTTTCTTCTCACAGTTCTAAGTCTTCACATAGAAAGAGATGTTTTAGAAAGCAAGGTAGTGACAGTAAGTCAAACTCAAACACGATTTGGAGTTTTTGTGTTACACTCAAACTTTGTATTTTGCAGTCCCCCAGAAATCTAGCATTACACACAGGCGAGCACGTGTCAAATGATTTAGGATCCCTTATTGAACCCTACAGCTACACATTCCCATTTTCCTGTCATTTTGTGCTTGTCACAGCCACACTGATCATGTGCACTGTGCCTAGAAAGCACTGTTACCCAAATCTGAGCAAGTCTTTCTACCAAAGCTACCAGACTCCACAAAGTGCAGAAAAACTGCTGCTCCCAAGCCTCACTGCTAGATCAGGAAAAGCTTCCTGGAAGACTCTACTCAGTTATTGCACTAGAAAAAAATTACATTATTTGGTACTTAAACTGTAATAAGTTTTTATGCATCAGTTATGTTACATTGTGACTATGTTGAACTTTTCAATATATTGAAATCAGTAGATTATGGCATAGGGAAAAAGGAAATCCTCATGATCCAGAACAGGCTCCAAAGTGCTGCCATTCTGTTTTGGAAATTCTGAAACAAAGTCATTGTAGTCTGCAAGGATTGAAACAGATATGTATTGACAATTAAAAAGATATTTGCACTCCCATCAGATGCAGAAGAAAGAAAAACAGAGAGGATTTGTTTCCCCTAAAGTTCAAGATTTCAGAATTTTTCCATGATGAGTTTGGACTTAACTCTTAAAAACAATGCTTGCTTTTAGACTTCTGCTTTTATCTTCTAGAATAATTATGAAATAATTATTTCTAATGCTTATGTTCCAAGTAATTATTTCCAAAATTTCCATTCTATTCTATGGGAAAGGACCATAAAGAAGAAGGCTGACTACCAACTCTAATTCAGATGCCATCATATCTTTACATGCAAAAGAGAAAATGTAAATGTTGTTAATGGCAGAAGTGATTGCTATGCACAGAGCCATGGAGGGCTGCACTGCAGCACAAACCACTGCCACATTGTGAGATTAATTTCTGGCATTAGCAACTCTTAATTATGGTCATTCTTTCTTTAACCAGTCCTGGGCATGGAGCTCTTACCTCCTGAGCTCAACAAAGCTTTCACTGGGAGGAAGCTTTTTTTTTAATTTCTCATATCATTTTTCCTGAAAGGTACTTAACTACTTCCTTTCCCTTTCCAGCAGCACACACACACCAAAGATAGCCACAGCAAAAAAAAATAGATGGTTGTAACACCAAAATTTTTCCTTTTCCTGGAACCTGCACTTCCAAGCTGCTCCTTTGTCTTCCCAGCTGGGTTATGAGAACTGGTAGCAGTCAGCCAGTCCAGCTCTTCATTGACACTTCAGAGTTTTGCTGGCACCACTGGTGCTCACCCAGCAGCCTGAGAAGGCTGTAAGCCACTGGCTCACTCTGCACACTCTTCCAGGCAGGGACAATTTCTTACTTTCATGTGCAGAACATCATAACTGCAATTCTGGCTGTTACATTTTGCAGCCTCTCTTGCCTTTTCTGCAAGAATTCAAGCACTTCACAGGAAAAAAATCAGTGCTGAACACCTAGCATGACCTGACTAGCAGCAAGGAGAGAGAAGAAACACTTATCAAGGTCCTGCAGTTGGTGGTACTTTATTGCACTCCTTCTCTGAAAAGACTCAGACAGGCCCCTGAACCAACTTCAGCCACAGATGTCTAAGTTTCAGTGAGAAGAGTCTACACCTCAGGTAATTTCTTTTTTTATTTTTAGGACAGTAATGAAAAAAAAATTCCATCAACTTGTGTTGTTGAATATCATTACTGGATTAAAGTTTAAATCTTGTCTCTTTAAAAAGCCATATAAAACATCATCACATTATTAATTTACTTAAATAGCAAGTGCCTCAAGCAATATTGGTTATGCAGATAAGAGGGGGTCAGTCGTGGGGGGAAGACCAAGGAGCTTCACTGATAAAAAACTCAGCAACACTCAAGGAATCTTCTGGACTGCCAAAGGAACCCTTGAAAAATTCCATCTATAAACATAACAAAACTTACAACAGGTTTTACTGCAGCCTGATGTACACTTGTCTGAGTGTACTGTAAAGACTGTAAGTGAATTCTTGAGCTGCTTTATTACACATTATTGATTACACATTATTACACATTAAACGATGATTCTTAAAATTATTATCCTGAAATAAAGAAGCAGCAAGTAGAAGCACACTGCCAAAGATTTGAGACTGTTCCACAGCCAGAGTTGAGACTAGACAACCCTCAGGGATGTGGAAGAGGAGAGAGTCTGTCTCATTCTCATCAGCAAGAGAAGTGAAGCACAGGGTGAAAGGAAAGCAGCCACAGAACATTTTTGCTGGTGGTAGTTTCACAGCCTGTCCAGAAATCAATTGCAATTCTAATAAAACATTTTCCTGGATTGGTCTGAACTATCTTCTGCACAATCTTTGTGACAGCCTTTCCTTAAAAGCCTGAAAGTCACTATACCCAGCACTGAAAAGTCTCTTGGAAATACTTTGGTCTGCTGCAGGGCACATCTTAGCAATTTTTAAGGCTTCTCCCAGACATGGATTCAAAGCAAGATATGGAATCCCAATTGTCCATGAATATTTGACCAATCTGTCCAATTAAATACAGCAAACAAAGTCTTAAGAGACAGGACAACATTTCTCTGGCACTCTTTATTTCTATATAACCAATGAGCTACCCTAAAGCAAAGTGAACATACATAGAGTTACATTTATTTACTGCCTGAAAACCATGATTCCACATGAAAGTGTGTAAAAAAAGTAAAATATCAATAAATGATCACCAGGTTTAAAATCAAAGCCTTCACCTCTAAATAAATAGATCTGGTACTTCTGATAAAGTCAATCATGACTTTGCAGAACATTCCTATTATTCATCTCAACTAAGAGCTGTTTTTTACCCACCAGAGGGACTCAATTTAGAAATTAATCATTTTTAGGATTTTTTTTTAATGTGAAACTAAAGGCTAACAAGTTCAATTAAGGTTGCTGACTCAATGGTTATTGAAGGCTGGGAGCTCCTTTTGAGTGTTTAGGCTTTAAATTGCTAACATTTCACTGTGCACATAGACCTCAACTTGGCTAATGTGTGTCTAAGGGGAAAAAAGAATTAAAACTCCATTGGTTCCAATAAATATTCGACTTGTTGACTGAATTTTACTTGAATATGCTTTGAAATACTTACTTGAGGATCACACAGCCCGTGCCCGTGGGAGGAGCTGTCCAGAACACCTGGATGCGTGTCCTCCTCCTCGGCGTGCTCTCAGTCACTGCAACAGGACAATTGCTCATGAACTGGGTTTCTTCCTCATCTATGATCTGGGGAAACATAAAGAGAAGAGTGGGAAAAGATGAGGATGTGCATGGCCAACGTTTTTCATGTGTGTTTTGTCAGCTCCTGTTTTCTTTGAGTGGAATATTTGTAATTCTCTCTGCTTAGCTCAGCGCTACTTCCGTGAATTCATTTACAACACGTAGATTGATTTGGAGACTAAAAGCTCACAAAATAAAGACAGAAGAATAAGTCAGTTCTGGGTAAAGAGAGTTCAGACCTTTCGGAGCATCGCTGCAAATAACCTTTCTTTGTGGTTCCTGATTACTGGAGCTTCCTGTAAATATTAATGAACTGAAAATAATAAAATATTCATCTTTTCAGATGATTGAGAATCCATTATTTAATCCAAACTGCAGATATTTTTGCTTTTTTGATTGATTGGTGGTTAACAGAAAAGATTAAATAGTACAAGTCAAAAGCCAGAGAGGCAGATTTGGAACTGGTGTTCCAAGGATTTTACTCAAAGGTGTCGAGTCAAAATAGCTTTCTCACTGCATATGTGTCTCATGGATTGTACTGTAAGCCTTCTGTTCATCAGATCCCAAAGAAATTTCATCAGAAACTGTTAAATTCTATCTGGAAATAGGCAATGCTCTGATATCACAAAATTTCTCTTCAAAATGCTCAGTGGTCCCCTGTTTGATTTGATGAAGCCACAATTCACACAACATTGGGTCAACTTTCAGGCAATGAATTACAAACCTTGCCATTTTGAGAAAAAAGCTGCATTTACCAATTGATAGCAAGATTCAGCTCTGAAGGGGCTCTTCAGAATCCTGGTTCTAACACACACAACCATACACTTTTACCAATTCAACTATAAAAAAAGAATAAAATCTTCTGGCAGTAAACATAAGATTAAACAAATATTTTGATTAAAAAAATACTCCTTTGCATTCTAAGAAAAGAGAGGCAATATCTTTAATTGGGCCAGATCTGCTTTAGTGAGCAGGCATCCTTGCTATCTCACCCAAGGATACCACCAGCATTCCCAAACATTTTTAGCTAAGCCAACAAACATTTCTGTATTTGCATGGCAGAGTGAAGTGGCACTGGCACAGAGGAGTGCTGAGAAACTCTCCTTAGCTGGTCAACAGGGCAGTGGCTAATGAGTTTTAAATTTAAAGCCATTAATAAGCTTCACGTTTTTTAACGCTTCGTAGAATCTGTGTAACCAAACACAGTGTGCACATTTGCTGGGTTTTAATTAACAGGAAGCAGTGGGAAGTGTGGGATCCAGTGGAGGCTTGAGCTGACTGCAGAGTTTCTACTTCTGCTGGATGCAATTTAATGTGTGTAAGCTAAGCACCAAGAAATCCCTGATCAACAATTCAGTTTCGGCCACCAACTGTACTTATTCTGTCTGCCTCATTCCTGCATCAGTAAAATAAAGAAATAAAACTGCCTACTTATCTCTCAGAAAGGTTGTCTCAATTATTTCAGGACCATATCCATTGACCTTTTCTCCCTATCTCACAGTAATTCATTCTCAATCAAAACCTAATTTTGGTGGCAGCTCTAAGAGAAGAATGAGTGATTTTTATACCATCACATTCACAATAAAATACTATTGCATGTTATACAAAAGCATGATAATTCCCATTGAAAAGTCTCTTAGGAGGTCATCAGAAAATTCTTTAAAAGGACAGCTTTTCTAAAAAAATGGAAATATTACAAATTACTGCACAAATTGCACTGGCTCCCTTGTCAGATGCAAAGTGCTGCTGCAGTATAACTCACACTCCTGGATAAAAATTTTAAGAATATGTTCAATCCAGGTCAAGCTTATGCAATTTCATGTAAGCATGAATAGGATTGATCAGATACAAGCTATGCCACGATCACCAGTGAAATTTATTCCCAATCTAGTTGAGCTCTTGCCTGGCACATGCTCCACCAATGATTGTTTCTTGAGAAACCCAACTGAAATGAATTGGTGCTCTCCAAGAATAAACCCACGATTTTCAGTTAGCAAGAACTTGGCTGCTTTCATATCCCTAAAGATCATTCCTCCAGCGCCATCATTGTAGACCTACATTATTTTGTGCATTTGCACATTAAATAAATTCTTGCTCCAGTTGAATCTATCCTGCTTTTTCCCCCAACAGTGAATGGGATCACAAGGAGCCCAAATCCAACAACCAAAGGAGGGAGTTGTGAGCAGCTGTGAGCAGTTGTTACAAGCCAAATTTATGACTTGCCTGCAGAAGCTGAACTGTGTGTTTGGATTGTAGAGAGCCATTACATTGAAACACATCCTTGTTCCAGTTGCAGTAAATGAACATGGAAATGCTTTTTGCATTTCTATTGCATACCCCATTCCTGCAAATTAGCAAGTAAAGAGTTTTCCATTTCTATAATAAACTAATTTGAAATTCTGGTTGCAATTTAGAACATGATCCTAGAAGAACAGGAAGTGGCTGAGCCTCAAGGCTACATCACAATTTCCTGCATCTCTAACCATCAAAGCAGAAGACTTATGCAATGAGTGTCTCCTGGAAAACACTGAGCATAAAATCATAAGGTCTTCCAAAAAGCATTCCTTTGAAGAAAAATTGGATGGAAGCTTTCCCAGTAAAGACTCCTAATGTTGACATAGCACAGGACAGAACTCCTAAATTAGTTGGAAAAGCTCAAATGCCAGTTAATTTGAGATGATTAAAGAAAGTAATTTTACAATATATAACAAATCCAAGAATTTTTTAAATTCTAGGATTTCAGATAAACCATCTGAAATCTATTTCTTAAAAAGATGGGGGTATCTTTCTGTATCCATGGAGGTTCCATTCTTTAAAAAAAGTTTACTTAGGAGTGACAAGAAGTGAATCCTGATTTATACTCCAGGATTACAAATGATATGATATTTTAGGGTGGTGGATGATATTACCACACTCCCATGTAGGAGAAAAGTAACAGTATCCTAGCCAACTTTGGGGGGAAAAAGAGACATGTAATATAATCCTGATTTTTTTTTCTGGAATCAAGTCAGACCACATAGGCGTGAAGGAAAGATTTGGCAGGGAAAAGGCACACACATTAAAATGTAGCATTTTCAAAATTATAGCTTCTAAACCCCAGGTTATCTGTAATGGGAAGCCTTACATTTTCAAGAATGGGCCAGCACATTACCCACATGTTGGACAAAAATCCTAAAACCAAAAAAATAAATGCTTGGCCAAAGAATCTGAACCCTCAGAGGGAGGGATCTCTATGTGACTTATCCTTTCAAATCCACAAATGCAATGACATTAGATTTTAATATTCTAGTTAGGTATAGTATGGTGCCTTTTTTTTGGTGTGTTTTTTGTTGGGGTTTTTTGGTTTGTTGGTTGGTTTTTTTGTTGTTTTGTTTGTTTATTGTTTTGGTTTTTTGGTTTGGTTTTCTTCCCATTATGATTGTGGTGTTATTGGACCGATTCATTCCTTCAGGAAAACGAGTGTAAATCCTGAACAAGATTCCTGGAGTCAACTGGGATTCAAATGAGTGTCACAACAAGCAGAATTTGGCTGAACTTGGGTAAATCTACAAACATGAAAGTAAGGATACTACAAGGAAAAATTTGCCAGCTGTGAGTTCAGTCTTACATTCTTTGCATATTCCAAACACTGATGAGGTTGAGGACAAGTTTTGGGTGTTCCTGAAAAGCAGGACTGGAGAACTGCTTAGTTGTTAAAAAAAATAAAGGAATAATTGGATTTCTCAGAATTGGAACATTTCATGCTGAGTGACAAAGTTTGCTCTTTCTGGTTTCTATAAACTATTAGTCAAATAAGCCAGGCAGTTATACTCTCTATCCTTAAGTTTATATCAGTATTGAAAAAAAAAGTTTAAAAATTTCAAAATACCATACATCACAAAGAAAGGGATTAGTACTGAGTACAAAAGGAGATAAAGTTTCATAAATTCTCTACTGGCTTGTGTCCATTTCCTTAGCAGAAACCACTGGCTAGGACCTGCAGCACCATTTCTTGTTCTGTGGACACATCATCACTTTCCACTCACTGGAACAGCTGCATTCTACTGGAACAATGGAATTAAAGACAAAAACAAAAGAAAGAACACAACTAGAAGTTCACAAGATAAGCATCTTTGTGGGCAGATTTCTTCTTTGGAAGACCTAATGTGAATGTTGCAAAATTGTCTTCTCCTTGAGGAAACTTTCCAGTTATAAAAAGAACATTGGGTCTATGTAACAGCAATAATATTTGGCCTTTAGGGATTAATCTAGAACAGAGCTTATTATACAGAACATAAAATTAATGGTCAGTTTAAAAACCCTGCCTCAAAGATAAGCTTCACATAACCACATTCTCTGACTAAAGGACACAGCATTTCTCTCAGAGGCTGGGCTCAGAACCAGAAGAATCAGAACTGGGGCTTTTAATGCAGTGCCAGTAATGAGTTTGGTGCAGACTGTGGTTCCAGGTTGTACAGAAGCACTGGGCACTGCTGGGCTCTCTGGGACATCCTCAGCAATGCCCCACAGGGCTGGACTTGTCTGAGAAGGGTTAGGGCTGGGATTTGACAAGGGCTAGGGTTAGGATTTGATAAGGGTTTGGTTCTGATAAGGGTTAGGGTTTCTCTGAAGCACTGAGAAAAGTGCAGATTTATTGAAGAAAGGCATTGCTAAAATACACTTGTAGATTATCACTATGTTCTGGTAACTTCTAGCATAACCTTTGCATAGATATTGCACAAAGTTGCAATTAGAAATAAATTTTAGTTCTGTAATCATTACCTGAGGGGGGAAAAATGCTATCAAGAATCTGCTGTTCTTTGCTCTTCAGTGCAAACCAACCTGAGCTATTTGATTCCTGCAGGGCAGGCAGGTGGGCAGGGCTGCTGCTGCAGGGTCTGTTTCAAGGTGCAGCTCAAACAAAATGACAAAGAAAGCAGTTCAGGGTGGCAAGAGCCCAGAGATGGAGCACTACACACCACCAGCTTTCACACTAAACACTCCTGCCCAAGCCTGACTATGGGAAG